TTATAAAGAAGCGGTCTAGTTTTTATAAAGAAGCGGTCTAGTTTTTAAAAAGAAGCAGTTTAGTTTAGGTTTTTAAAAAGAAGCGGTTTAGTTTTGAAACGTGTCTCTGTGTTGAGCCTGCGGTCGTCTGGAAGCTCATGTTCCCGTCTCCATCTCTTGCAGGCGTTCCAGCTGCTGGCCCAGGAGCTCGTAGTCCTGGAAACGGTCGTGCTGCAAACGCTGGGTGAGCTCGACGCGCCGCTTCCTTCAGGTTTTTTACAGTTGCTGCACGCGTCCGTGCGCACGCTTCAAACAGCTGCACGTGGCGTTACTGACGTGGTGTTTCTGACTGCAGGTTTTGAAATAACAATCGATCATCCTCACACAGATGTTGTGAAATGTTCCCAGCTCGTGCGAGGTAACGTCTGCTTCAACCTTTGACCGAGTGTGAAGCGTGCGAGTCGTGCTGGCAACATGAGCCGAGTGCACAGTTAATAAACTAGTCCACGACCTTCCTCATCTACATTTAGCTGGCCTTGACATTTCATGTATGGAGGATTGTCATCAGATCGCTGTACAGCACATACATTTACAGACGCTCCTTTTTTAATTGAATCGACTCGTTCCGCAGTGAAAACTCATGAAACCTGTTTTACTTTGTGTCCCTTCAGCCACGTTGCTCGGCCTCGTCACATGTACTCTGGTAATTCCTGCATCACTTTACATCATTCAATGAGGCCGCGGTGCATTGGTGGTCTTGTAATCCTGAGGTTGCAGGTTCAAGTCCAGGCTGCGTCAGGGAGGGTAAATGCTAAACTTTAGTGCGAGTTCCCTCGATGTGGTGACCTGAAGAAGGAAAAACAAACATTTAGACCAATTAATAGTTTTCAAATGGGCACTGTTGCAAATGAATAAATCACTACATTTAAACAAAATCTAACAACTCACTTTGAATTTTTTAAGATGAAAAAATAAATATCATAACTCATTTTGCCAGCACAGATCACACACTAATATGTGTGTGTGTGTATTTAGATGGATGTATGGATAGCTTGATAGTCTCTCTCTCTC